AGAAGAGCTGTTGCTGACACTGTTTTTCCTAGGTGCCCAGGCTGAGACAGGCTGGGGTGCAGATGCCCTGAAGTAAAATTCACTGAGATACAGCTGAATGAAGGTGTAACATTAGCTTCAGAAGGCAGATGGCCGCTGATAGTATTCTGTTTCTCTGGGCACAGCTTAGAAGATTTTCAGCCAACTTTCTGCCAAACAGCTCACACATCCATGGTGGACCACCTGGGGCCGACAGGTGACGCGAAGCAGCACTAAGTCCTATAAAGATGGATGGATACCCTGCCACCCTGGCGTTTGATTAGCTCAGGCTGCGAAAAGCTATTGCAATGCTCATTCAAAAAGGAGACTGAGATTGTGAATATATTCAGCTCCCCCAATTACTTTGTAAGTATATATAACAATATCCCTGGGAGAGAGAGGAGGGAAAAGAAGAGAAAAATGCAAACAGAACGAGAGCCCAGGAAGTGGCTGGAGATACGCTCAGGCTGGAAGAGCCCAGAGGGAAAGGAGAGGGCGAGCATCTCTGCAGGACAGCAGGGCTACCTCGCCGCTGCTTCTCTGAACATCCTCCTTGCGCTGCTGGCTGGGACCCGAGGTCTCGGCAATGAGTCAACAACCAGGCCAGGGGAGTTGGGTGGGTCTTAGATGGAGGCAGGAGCCTTGCCAGAAGCTCCCACAGGGACTCTCTCCAGGAGGGATTCTCCTCCAAGAAGGGTCCTTGGCTCTGAAGGCCCCTGGCCATGAGATACCCTGGATCCTGGTTTCTAAACCCCGAGCCTCAGGGCTTTATCACGGTAGCTGCTGCGCTCCTTCTGGGAAGCCTCTTCTGTTCCCGCGGCTCTGGGAACCTGCCTCCTTCCAGGTCCATTTTGCCTTACTGTGTGGCTCTTGGCTACCTTCTCAGGGAGCCCAGTGCCACGATGATCTTGCCCCAGTGGGTGGACTGCCTCCCTTTGTTCCTGACTCTAAGACCTGTCCTCAAGAAGGAGAGGATGTGGTCTTCAGCCTAACCAGAGCTGAGGCATGTGGCTCCCCCCACATGTGTTTTGTGGCCTTTGACTTACTACAAGCCCGTGCGCAGCACGCGGACCTCCCAGGGATGATGACAACAATGATAAAAAAAATCAGTGCTAACATTTATGGGGGGATTTCTGGTTCCAGTCACTGTTCCAAGTGCTCTGTGTCTGTTTTCTCATTTTTTTTTTTTACCACGTGAAGAAACTTCCTGCTGCCCTGACACTGTGATTATCTCATTTTCCTCATCTAATTCTTAAAAGAGAAATACTGGTCAGAGACTCAGCCCGTAAAGAGCAAGTTAAGGAAAACCTCATTAAGGCCAGTGTGCTCTTCCCCTAGGTTGAATACAGACATGCACAAAGAGTACACAAATCCACCAGATGAATGCCTTCTTTCCTAATTTTACCAAAACTATTTTGGAGTGGGAAGGAAGTAATTTAAAGCATTGTTTTTACATAGAATAAAACTATGATGGAGTATATTGAAAAATTCAAATCAATTACTTTAAAAAATAATTTTAAATGTTTTTGCTTTGAAATAATTTCAAATTTATATGTGTTTCAGAAGTGGTATACAGAGCTCCCTTGTATGCTTCACCCAGCTTCCCTAATTATTAACATTTCTGAAGTGTTTGAGACTAAGTTACAGAAATGATGCTCCATTACACCCTTTATACAAAAATGAGTATTTCCTAATTATAAATACTCTTACCTTCAGAACCACAGCACAGCCATAAAACCCATAAAATTAACATCGATCCATTATTATCACAAATGAAAATTTAAGATAATATATAAAACATCTAGGCACTTGGCTCCCTGTGTAAATATTAGTTAAGTGAAAGAAAGGGGCTTCAAGAAAAGCTTGTGCTTGCTGGACATGAACTTTGGGTGTTTTAATTAATTCTATTCTGCCATTACTAGCACTTCGGGGAAAATTCTGAGAGACATTGCTCTCTGGGCTCCAGTTGACCATGAAAACCCAGACCTGGATGTGCCAACTTTGAGGGCAAAGAATGATGACCATTCTTTGACATTTCCAACTTACCCTCCTGAGTCATTTAAGCAAGTCCTTAGGTAAGCTTACTGTCCCCTCACCTCCATCATGGAAGACCTCTTACACTTTTCCTACCTTCTGATTCAGCTCCATTTGCTAGTTATGACCTCACCAAAGATAAAATATTTTGGATGTTTCAGGCCCATCTGGAGGTCCATCAAATGGATCTCCTCAATCTTTTCACTCTGGCCCTGAGTAGCAGATGGGAAGTGGAGATATTTATTCTTGCTGCAGGCCCTTATTTATGTCTCCAATAGCCAATGGCATGGGACATGCTGAACTAGTTTACCATCAAGTTCTTGGGTGCTTTTTGTTTTTTCATCTCATTGGTACAATGTGAGCATTCAGGTGAAGGGGATGTGGTCCACGGGTGAGTGGCAGAAAAGTAAACATGTTGGGATCATGGGCACTGAACAATCTTTTGGATGAACATGTTTTTGTCTCAACCCAGGAATCTGCCCGTCTGCAGATCGATTTACCAGTCCACATGTAGTAAGTTTGAACTTGGAAGATGTCTGAGATTCATTTGGGACCATTAGCTCAAACGCCACTTCAGAACCATCACTGGACTGGTTCAAGAAACCTGAATTCTTACTTAAACTGGCCATGTGATCTTGGGTCCCCTGGATCTTATTGTTCTCATTTGCAAAATGGGGAGGGCAGGATGAGATGATCTCTGAGGTCACCGGATACAATCTCTTGTAACATGATTTTATGAATATCTACTGAAAGAGCCTAACGCTATGGGTGTGAAGTTTCACCTTGTGCTAAATGCCATGGCCCAGGCAGGAATCTGTACTCATTCACACCAATCAGTTTATGTTGTAAATGTGTAACTTCAACTAAGTTTCTATACAAAAACCATAGAAAGTGACAACTGTGATGTTTTCCCACTGTAACCAATCCATTGGAAAGCCATGGACCACCACTGGTGGTAGTTCTGTGTAGAGGAAGACAAACTAGGAAATGGAGCTGAATCAGAGGGTGGGAAAAGTGTAAGAGGTCTTCCATAATGGAGGTGAGGACAGTAAGCTTACCTAAGGACTAGTTTAAATAACTTGGGAAGGGAAGTTGGAAATGTCACTAGAGCCCCCTCTCTATCAACTGCTGTGATAGTTGAACCCTTTGGAAAGGAGCAGGTAAGGGGCCACCACAAGTTAGGGGCCCTAGATTTTCTGCCTTCTTTGCATATCTTTGGATTTATGGAGGGTAGAGATGAGGAAAAAAACCCTTAAGTGGTCTTAACAGAAACACTCAAAAGCCTTTTCTTTCCCCCTAACTGAAAGCATTGACTCCCACCCTATCCCGCTCCAAATTACCTCACCAAGAGAAAGGGACGCATAGTGTCTTTTTTGCCTGACCTTGAACCTTAGCTTATCTACTCTTGGCTAAGAACTTTTTTTGGCAAGGAGAGGCTGAGGAGGGTTTTGGCCTCCTTTGTTTAAGTCCTTTGTTCTTCTGTCGCAGAAGTCAGGCCTGCTCCATCCATCACATGTTTGGCCACTCAATGTTTCACATCACAGTAATAAATGTAAATGATAACATCTTTCAGGCTCTTCCAACATGCCAGCCACTGTACTATGTGCTTTGTGTATGGTGTCACATTTAATCTACAGAATACTCTATGAGGTAAGTTTCTTTTGTATAGATGAGGAAATTCCAGTCTAAGTCAAGAGGACTTTCCATCAGGGTGTATATTTCCATTATCAGAAGACATCATTGCTTACCTCCCCTCTTGTGAACTGTGGACTTCCTACAGGGCCTCATTAGCAATGTTTTATCATAAAGCCCTCATGGCTTCTTGGATGCTCCCAAGCTTACTTACTGGCTTTGGAGTCCTGCACAGGAAAACATACTGGAAAGAGCTGTGACTGCTCTTTCTATCCCTCCATGGTGGAATAAGGGTAGGAGGAGGACTTTAAAATGAGGATCTGAAGTCTTCAAAGCCCTTTTGGAGGCCCAGTTGTGCAGGAGCATAGAAGCAATGTGATAAAATGGGCCAGGGCTCTTCTCAAAGAGACGGCTCCCTGGATGTTGCTGCTATCAGTATGTTTTCTGTTGCTGTAGCTCTAAGGTCATCCCCTAGAGCCACAGAAACTACACAGAGGGCCATCTGGATCAATGTGAGGGAAAGGGTCCTAGTCTCAGGGGCATTTCTTCTTCATACTCCCTGCCCTTGAGATCAAGACCCTTCTCTTCACATTGACTCAACTGGCTGTCTTCATAGTGTCTGTGGGTCATTTTCTTCAGAGTGAAGACTTTGGGGAAGATGTAGAAAAGTCTCCTACCTATTCCACCTCAGATAGTCTCGCTCCTAGGAAAGCAAGCTCACAGTAGCTCCAGTTCTTTGGTTACTTTTTTGCTGGACTCCATCTGTGCTCCTTAGATCCAGGTTGAAACAATTTCTTTAGAGCTATCTACACGAGGCTGGGCAATACTCCCCAGGACTCCCTCCTCGCCTCTCCAAGCCCCCACCCCCAGCAACAGAAATCTCGTAACTAAGTCTCCCTTTCTCCCTTGTCAGCCATCTAGTAGGAAGGTATCAAGGTTCAGCCAGACTTGCTAGTTGGCCCAAACCCATTATTCATTTTGGACCTCAGCTTCGGCTTTTGAAAGACTGAATAGCCAAAGACTTATTTCAACATAATTCCTGGATTTTCCCTGAACTTGGCTGTGATCAAGATCATGTGAAGGAATGGGTGACTGTCAAATCTAATCAGTTAAAGAAAGCATCGGTATAAAAACAAGGCAGGGTCATTTGGGTTCACTGTTGATATCTGAATAATCGCATTCAAACATTGGTGAGCACTCTAAATGTACATGGAAGTGAAATTTTCCTTATGAACTTTAAAAAATGGTGAAATTCTATCAGTCAGTGGATATCTGTCAGAAATATCATATTCTTATATCAGCATATTTATTATTTTAAGAAAAATGCTGTAATAATGGTTGTGAAAGCTTTTATTATATACAAAATTATTTTACATTTTCACAGTTCAAAAATAGGTAAATTAGTTGACAGTTATGTTAACAGAAAGTATGTACTAGCTAGACAACTTTAGGAAGAGCCTTATATAATTTTTGAGCTAAAAGTATTAATAACAATTTAATAAATACTGCAAATAGTATTTACTTCAACAAATAGCACAAGGCAGAACCATATTAATTAGATTATATTGTGATTCCATGATTTCATTGTATTAAAATCTTTGTGAATTGATGTATTAGCATTTATTATGTTAAATAAAATAATCCTTAAGAACTATAGTTTTTAGGAGGATTTTCAAATTGAGGTGTAACAGGCATACAGTAAAGTACACACATCTTAAGTGTACAGCTCAAAGGGTTTTTCACAAAGTAAACATATCCAGATCAAGAATAAAACTGTTCAATGTTCTGCAGTCCTTTCTTTTCATCATCCCTCCCCTACCTTCTCTCCTCAGCATCTCGAACCACCCAGCCCACCTATCAGGACTCTGCCTACAGATTTATACTCTAGCCTCCTCATAAACATTGCTCTAGCAGAAGAAAGCCCTCCAGGAGAATTGAGTGGGGCATTTGCCTTGGTCTTCGTGTTTGCCAAAGACGGGTATGACCTGACAGGGGTATTGCTACTATTATTGCCATTGCTACTACTAGCTATCACTATTGAGGCCTACCAGTGCCTCGGGCTGACTAAGGCTTCATAAATGTCATTTCTAAATCTTCCTGTAATCCTGTTGGGTAGGTGGTATTATTCCCATAAATGGAAACATAGTTGCAAAGAGGTTCAGTAGTTTTTTCCAGGTCATGTAGCCATGAAGGACCGAGTCAAGATTTACACTCAATTTTATCTGGCTCCAAAGATTACTCTGACCCTGGGAAGGAATAAAAGAGCACAGGGGTGTAGGGGAGGGACTGGTAGAGAGTAGACTCCCCGGATGAGAAGGGAAAGTCTAACAAGGCAGTATCTGGGCGCTGAGGTAGGGGGGCGGGGCGTGGGCGTGGGGCGGAGTGCAGTTTGTCTGGGACTGAGGTTCAGGAAGAGAGAAGGCGATGGTGTCGGTCAGGGCTGCAGGCAATGCCAGGCGGGGGCTGGGGGTGGGAGGCTACCAAGACTGAGTCAACGTAAAGCCAAAGCTTCTCCAGTTCTGCTCGCCAGTGAAGGAGAAATGGTGTCTGCAGCCCAGGGGATAGGTAGATGGCATTTCCACATCTCAACCCCTCGGGCCTGGGGCGGACTGCCAGAGCAGAGAGCCAGGGAAGCACCGAGGCAAGAGAGATCATTATCGGGAGGAAGGAAGCTCTGGCAGCTCCCATCAGCTTGTTTGTGACAAGCAGGCACCGGGCCACGGAAGTCCCTTGAGGTCAAGAGAAATGTGATCCTGGAGCAGAGGGATGAAGCTGGGACACTCCCCTGACACTCTGCTTTCAGACCTAGGCGATCAAGCCAGAGGCAGGCCCAGGGCCCAGGACAGAAGAGCAGTGGGCTAGAGAAGGAGGGGTGCAGAGAGGCAGAGAGAAAGAGCGCGCCAAGACCCCTGGAGCACCTCAGAAACAGTCTCTTGGCTAGAGAGGTAATGACCTTTACTGCAGCCAACTCTTCAGAGCTCTCTGTACATTTCTTCATGGGTGAACTCTTACCTAGTTCCCCTCTTGTCCCTGCAGAGGGCTCTCATTTTTCGGCCAGTGGTAAAGGAGAAAGCGCACTGTATTTAGAGTAAGGAGACCTAGTTTCAAGTCCAAGTTCTGCTACTAACCAACCTGGCAAGCCCTTGAATTAATTAAGCTTTCTGAAATCTCAACTTCCTCATCCCTGAAGAAGGCAAGTAATTCCTGTCAAGTCCGTCTCACGAGGGACTCACGTGGATCCAGCATGAAAAGCATGAAATGCTATGTAAATACAAGGCGGTGCTTCTTTGTCATCTTTCCTTCCGGCCGCCTCTCTGCACACAGGCCACCTCACTACTGGGTCAGAGCTGGGGAAGAGGCCTCATTTAGGGACAAAAAGAGCTCTTTCCATAAATCCCATGCACTCCTTTTCCATTTCTTTCCTCCTCTTGTCACGCTGCCACCAGAAGATGGGGCAGGGGAGAGACATATGAGGCACAGATCCAGGAACCTGCACCCCTAAGCTTGCTCAGCCCCTCTCTTGGGGATAAGCTCCTGGGAAAGACCATCTCTTCTGGAGCCGAGCCTACTAAAGTTTCAACCTCAACACCCCTACCCCCAACCCCCATCCTCTCAGAGGAGCCTGAGCTAGGAAGGGCCCCAAGAGATGTCAGAAGAGAGCCTTCTGGGAAAAGGAGGAGTGGTCCAGAGGCCTGGAGAGGGAATTCAGGCACAGCCCAAGCACAAGGAAGGCTAGAAACCTAAAGGACTTTGTCCAAGTGCACGGGAACCAGCTTCAAGTGTCCAGAATCCCCTTTTTGGGGAGGGTCACAGGCCACGATGTAAGGAGCCACCAGTTGCTTCTCTTTGTACCTGCAGTTTGGGTACCGGCCAGAGGTGAGCTTACACGTAGTCAGGGATGCAGGTTTCTGGCTCTGGTGGCAGTTTTTATGGCCATTCTTGCAGGCTGTGATGGGGGTCTGACAGGTGGCAGCCACGCTGGAGAAGGATTCATGCAGGAAGGTGTTGAAGCCTTTGCAGTGTCTGGAGTACTTGTTGATGTTGCCCATGGCAGCGCTGCATCTCTTAGGCCTGGGCTGCACATGCTGAGCTTCAAACCACTGAGCTGAGGTCATGTGACTGGGCTTGGCACTGACTGGGTCCTCCACCACCCAGAGCCCCAGCAGCAGGAGCAGAAGCAGAGGGTAGAATCCTGCTCTGGCTGGTGCCATCTCTCTTAGGGGGAACTGTCAGAATGGAGGGCTGGGGTTGCTGGGGACAGAGAACAGGAGGTGGGAAATGAGCCTTCCTATACCTGCTCCTTCTAGCTAATCACCATCTCCCTCTGCCACTGTCTCCTTCCTCTCTCACCCTGTGTCTTATCCCTCCCTTCCCCTCTGGGTGCCCACAGCCACTATGACCCCATCCCCTAACCCTATGGCTCCATCCCCCTCACCTTGTATCCCTCTCCTCCTTCGTTCTGTCCCTCTTGCCTCCCACTCTTTGTTCTCTCTCTTCTCCCTCAAGTCCCATCCCTTAGCATCCCCAGGTCCCTATATCTCCATCTCTTTCTCTGTGTCTCGTCCCCTCCATGACCCCATCCCCATCTCCTCCACATCCCTATATTGTGCCTCCATCCCCCAGCACCACTCTCCTCTCTCCCCTCCACATTGGGTCCCTCCTTTGCCCATCTTGTCATTCACCTGAGTGTCTACTCTTATCTGGCCAGAACCCATCCCTTCTCTGTCCTTTCTCCTCACCCACATCCTGTCTCAGGCCTCACCTCCTCACTGAGTCCTTGTGCTGCAGCTCCTGCTCAGAGGGACATACCTGCCCACCGCTGGGCCTCAGATCTCCGGCAGTCTCTTCTCACTGCCTAACTCCATAAGAACTGGCCTGACCTGTGGTGCTTCTGTTTAGATGTGGGCTGGGGAGCATCCCCGGGTCAGGAAATGAATCAGGTTCATGCCTCTCCACTTACATGTCCCCAATAAGTGGATACCTATGGAGCTAGGACACCTGCCTGAACATGTTTAGCAATGAGGAAGCATGAATCCTCACACTCAAAGACTAGATTTGGCCCCCAGCCACATGGTTTCAATGGCTAATAAAGCACCTGATCCAGGTGTCAGCTCAAAATGAATTTCTGGGACAGTTGTCATTTGTCATCTCCTATATACACTTCTGGTTCTGATTCTGGGAAGAACCTCTCACTGTGATGGTAAGGATTGCTTTTTTCTGACCTGAGATACAGATGGAACAGCCTAGAAACTTGCTTTGTACGGCTTCTTGTCACAAAGGACTCACTGCTTATCTTTTGGAGGAGGTGGAGGAGATAGGGAAGTGGACCAGTCATCACGGTCACGATTCCCAGCACCAGTCCAGCTCAGCTCTTCTGCAATGATTCATCCCTCTGGGTCCCTCCAGTTCCAAGGTCACCTGGCTTTACCTGGAAATGGCACCCAACACTTCTCATCCTTCACTCGATTTCCCTTGCGACTTTCCCTTGCGACTCGATTAAAATTTGCAACACTTAAAAACATTGTCTAAATATGAAAATGCTGGTGGTGGGGGTGCTGCTCCACCTCCAGCCGAGACCTTTCTCTACTTTGTCTTCCCTGTTTCCTGTGGCAGTTACAACTGTGTGGTCAGTGCTGCTTCCAGGGCACCAGTGAGCCTGGCATGAGACTCAGGAGAACTGAGATGCTGAGAAAGAGAAGCATCACTATCTGTGGATGGGAAGAACTCCTAGAAAACTGAGATGAACAGTGTTTTTGTTCCCAGGATTCGCCTGTTAGTAGTAGGTGATCTCAGACTATTGGGTTCAGGCTCATTCACAGAGTCAACAAATATTTCTTGAGCATCTACTATGCCCCAAGGTGCTTGGGATATATCAGTGAATAAAAGAGACAAAATCCCCACCTTTGGAATCCTTACATTCCATTGAGAGAAAGACAGTAAAATATACATACTTTGCTCAGGGTGATAATTGCTAAGGGAAAAAAAACAAGACGGAGGTTAGTAGGCAGTGATTTTTAAATAGGGTCACTGAAGTAGGTGACTCTGGGACAAAGACCTGAAGGTGAGACAGGGAACTGATGCTTGTCTGGGGAAGAATGCTCTGAGTAGAGAGGGCAGCACTGCAAAGGCCCGAAAGCAGGTGGATGTCTGGGGTGTTGGAGGAAGAGTAAGGAGTCTGGTGTGGCTGGAGCAGGTGAATGATGGGGTCAGAGAGGGACGAGAGGCTACGTCATGGAAAGCCTTAGACCCCACTAGGACTGTGAGTTTTGTGCACACAGTGGGGAGCCCTGGGAGGGCTCTAAGCAGAGGAGTAAAGGGCCCATCTACTGAAAGATCCCCTGGCTGTGGTGTGGATGTGACTGCTAAGAGGCCACGCAGACCATCTGGGTCATAAGCTTTGTGTTCTGGTCCCGAAGTCGGGATTTTGAGTCAGGAAGATAGGGAGTTTGTTCTGAGATCAGGAGACATTATTTTAGTAGACAGAGTGCATAGCTGTGGGTCAGGAAGAAAAAGTGGTGTTGGAGTGAGAAACACCACTAGGTGGCAACAGAGAACCGGGAGCGAGTTCACACGGGCCACCGGCTGCCCTGGTTCCCCCTCAGTGAGGCCTTGGCGGTGGGAACAGCATTCATGAGTTTGTCCAGGTGCCTGAATCTTTGTAGTTTGAACTTCTGGATAGAGAATTATGCCTCTGCTGCTGTAGAAATGCAAATGTTTGGAGATAAAATCTGTGGTTTAAAGCATTCTGTGGGCAGAATGAGGATCAGCACAGTCCAGCCCTGGACCGCAGGCTGGGGTTAGAGGAGGGGGTGGGAGGCCAAGAGCTCATTTGAATTCCTAGCCAGGTCTCCTCACTTCTCATTATTCTAGAGTGAGATGTTTCCAAACCACGACCGGCACTGGCCTCTGCTCCTGTGTTTTCCTGTCTTTGTAATGATCCCAGTTTGCTCCCCAACTTCATTCTGCTGGGCTCTCCAGAAAGCTGCCTTAGTGCTCTGTGAAAGTAAAATCAACACGGCTGGGCTGTCTCCGGTCAAAGGGAAAAGGGAGTAAAGGTTCAGGTTTGCACTGAAAAGCTGACTGACCATTTGCACAACTCAAGCTGAAACCCTTACTTCGCCCTTGTTATTTGGATAAGGCAGGCAATTTTATTTGTTTGTTCGTCGAAACTACCTAGCTTCCAAGATCTGCTTCACTTTGCACTCAGTAGGACAATTTTGCATTTCTCCTTAGACTCATAGGGCAAGAGGAAAAGTGGAGGAAGGGGAACACAGTTAGGGAGAAGAGAAAAAATCAGGCATCAGGCCAAGGACGGTCAGAGAGTCTGGGAGAAGGGAGAACAGAAGAATTGGAGAAGGCAGAGCAGAAGACAAAATGTTGGGAGAGAAGAAAGCCCCTCACGGGGCAGCCTCTATCCAGGGATATGAGGCAGGTTCCCCCAGAGTCCTTCTCCTTCTGCCATCATAATTACTGCTCTTGGCCTCGCCTCGCCTCTCCCCAGGCCGCTGCTGTGTGTGTGTGTGTGTGTGTGTTTAAAGTCACTGGGGTGGGTGTTGTGAAAGCTTCAACAGTGCCAGGTGGACCTCTGCCGGTCTTCCCCACAGGACAACAGCTGCTGCCTCCTCCAGCCCGTGTTGGGTGGGGGTGAGGGGGGCTGGGAGAGAGGAGGGCCAGCCTGGATCGGTGCCCACCCTTCAGAGCCCAGCCTCCCTCTCTTCCGGAGTTCCACACAGCCTCTCTGGATGCGGATGGAAAGCCCGTGAGAGTTTCCCTCCAAGCAGGAGCAGGTCCAAGTTCTCTTATCCTCATTTGCTTGCTCCCAGGATAAATAAAGGTAACCGGCTCATTTTTGTAGATGAGGAAGGTGGAACAAACAGCAAGTTGGGATCAGATGTGGAACTCGCTTTGGGTCTTTGAATTCTCATGACCTTTCCTGGAACAGCTGTGGGTCTAGAGGAGGCAGCACTGACAGAAGGTTGGAATCCTTGGCTCCCAGACCAATGCCTCTTAGACAGGCCAGGATGTAGAAGCGGGGGACCTGGTCTGGGGTTGAGAGGCCTCACCAGGTCACTCTGTCTCACAAGCCACTGCCAGCTCCCCATTTGTCTACAGAACAAAATATAAATTCCTTAGCCTGCTATTCAAGGTCTGTCACCATCTGGCAAACCTGTCTTTCCAACTTTGACTCTTCTCCCACTGATTGCTTCAACCCCAGCCAGGCTGGTTTTTTTCTCTTTACTCAAACATACCTTTCATAACCCTCTTTATCTCCACTCAACTCTGTTTCCTGAGACCCATCCTAAAGTCCCAGGATGACCCTCTCCCCGCCAGAAAACTTTCTCTGGCCCAATTCAGAGGGATCTCTCTCACCTCTAAATTCCTAAAACACTTACTGTCTTCAGGATGTATAATTTTCTGCCTTGAATCATTGGTTATTTCTTCACATGTATTTATTGTTTTCCTCCAATTTAGACTGTCAATTCCCAGAAGACAAGGACCACCTGTTATATGTCTTCTGCATACTCCATAGAATATAGCATAGTGCTTTGCATATCAGTGACCCTAAACGATTCAACTTCTGGGTTAGAAGGCACTCACTCTTGAATAAGCCTGGTCCCAGATGGTATCACCTGAATAGCCCCATTCCCAGCTGAGGAACTGACAGCGCAGCTCCTGAACTTTCAGCCTTGGGGTAGATGTGAACCTATGACAAGAAGTTTGAAATGGCTGAAGCAATCCTCTGAGTTCAAGGACAGCCTAAGCACTGTCCATGGCACAGTATGCTGTTTGAACAATTTGGGTTGGACAGGGCAGAAGTGATGCGACCGAGACTGTGGTGAGCTCACTTGGGGCAAAACCTTGGGGCTCCCCTTAATCATAGGGATTTACCCCTGCACCTGTCACTCTAGCCAGTGGTTCTAGAGATTCTTACCGTTGGGGAGGGGAAGAGGGAGAGAATGTGTAGATGGCCACCTGCAGAGAGTCACTTTTACAGGAAAAATAACAAAGATGTTTTAACGGTGGTCTACCAGTAATATTTTGCTGGTTAAAGAACCGGCACCATCACAAGCAAAGTCTAATAAAACTATTTCTAAATACTGGATATTTATCAGTGCTCTTCAATATATAAGGTATAACTAAGCCAACTCTTGCTAGGAACTCTGATTCTCTCATTAGACCAGGACTTGTCAACCTCACACAATCGACATCTTGGTCTGGATAACTGTTTGTTTTGGGAGCTGTCCTCTGCGATGTAGGATGTCTAGCAGCGTCCCTGGCCTCTACCCGCTAGATGCCAGTAGCACCTCCCAGTTGTGACAACCAAAAAAAGCCTCCAGAGGTGATCAAATTGCTCCCCGTTGAGAACCACTGAATTAGACCTATGACTCAAGTAAGCCACTGTCCCTCTCTAAAACCTCGTGTCTTCATCTCTAGGGTGATTCTTGTATGTGGAAAGTCCAGTGTAATGGGGTAACAATTCCACAAATCTCAGGCTCAGGGAGCAGGTGAAACCATGACAAGGATGTCAGGATGGAGGAAGCAATCCTGTGGCTCAGCTCCTCTGGGATAGGATTTTCCAAGACCAGACCACTAGGATTGCAGGTTGTTGGAGCCCAAAGGCCTGTCACACACTCAGCACTGTGCCTGGCCCCGTGTTTGTGCCTTTGTAACATATGTTCATACCCTGTCATTCCTACTGAACTGTAAATTTAATATGGACTGTAACTGGCTCATTTACCTTTCTATTTCCCCTGACATTTGTTATAGTGATTTTCAAGTAGTATTTAGAAATTTTAAAATAACTTTAAAATAATCAACACGGGGCATGACGAATAACAGAAAGCTTCGTGAAGATGAATATAAGTCAGGTGTGAGAGAGTCTCTAGATTGGCAGAGTGGAGATACGGGGAGGTCACTTGGCTCATTAGGGGGATATAAGAGACTCTGCAGATGTTAAGTGAGTTGAAGGGAATAAAGTGAGTTGGTATAGGACCTGGAAGACCATACCCACTTATCCACTTTTATATCATTTAGTGGTTAAAAGGCACTTCCATACTGACCATCTGATTTTATTCTTGCAGCCTCATAAGGTAAGGCAGGCATCAGTCCCCTTTTATAGAAGATGAAACAAAATCTCAGTAGGTTATTTGATATCAAGCTCTAAACTCTCCTCTGCAACATGCTGGTCCATTTCTGTAATAGCGTGTGGGGAGGTGAGTGGTGGTGGGTGGGTAGTGAAGCAAGGAATAGGAAGGCCAAGAAGCATGAAAAGCCCCTTCCTCTTCTCAGGGAAGCTGCGCTTTGAGCAAATAGGGAAGAGGTGGCACACTCTGAGGCTGGGACCACAGAGTGATAGCTTCCTCAGAACAAAGACGTGAGTCAGCCAGGCTCAGGCACCACCTTGCACGGGCTCCCAGTGGGTGTTGGCTTATAGACCAGCCTGAGGATACAGATGAGCCACCTGCCTGTGGCTTCATCCTCACCTGCTTGGCTGGGTACACTTCCCTGGGGAGGTCCTCCAAACAGAGGCTTCTTAAACAGGACCTCTGGGCTGATCCTCCGATGGGATAGCTCAGTGGGACTGATGAGGGGAGAGCAGGAGGGGAAGAGCAGCATTCAGAGTGAGGAGACAAGAAGAGTTAGAGGTGGGGGGAGGGAGGGGCACCAAGGGGGAAGCAGGCAGGGATGGAGATGCAGTTGGAGACATGCTGGGGGCCAGGTCATGGATGTCTTCTGTCCTCTGAGGTGTAGAGCCCTTCTGGAGTTGCAGGGTGTGTGGTGCCCAGGAGAGGGGAGAGCCTGAGCAGGGGAAGAAATAGAAATGGAAGAGACAGGTTCGGGAAAAGTTTTAGTTAAGATTGGCAGGGCTAGGGGGTGGGTACAGCTCAGTGGTAGAGCGAACGCTTAGCATGTACAAGTCCTGGGTTCAATCCCCAGTACCTCCATTAAAAAAAAAAATTAAAGGGATGGGTGCAGCCCAGCTTAACTGTGTAATGCTGAGAATCTTTGCAGCATCAGCCAGATGTGCAGCATATGTGCAAAAAAGCTAAAAATGGCTTAACACTTCCTACTAAAAATGTATGTGAGTGGTTGATAATTAAACTTCATAAGACATCTAGGGAGTCCATACATATTTTAAAAAAAATATTGGTAGGGCTGAATACTGGTGGGCTCCTGATCATATCGAGTACTCAGTATGTGCCAGGCTGTGGGCTAAGCGCTCCTGAGATGCATCTTAATGAACCTTAATACTACCACGAGACACAGAACAGTATCCTCATTAACAGATGAGGCAATCGAAGCTCGTCCTGGCCTAGTAAACTTAGACTGGTGGTGTCCAGCCTGGAAACAGCAGAGCTGGGATTCAATTCCTGGTCTGTTTTACTCAAAAGCTTTGCTCTTAACCACCATGCAGTCCTGCCTCCCAACAGGTGGGGTTAGGGAGAGGGAGGGGTTGGGGCTCAGGCTGAGATTTCTTGCATAGGTAACCGAGGAAACAGACAACACAGGAGCAAAAGCAAGTTGGGGGAGGATGGGCACGGTTTTGGACTCCAGTTGGTGCTGGCAGAAAGAGCAAGTTGAAGGGGGCCGTGAAGGAGGAGCAACCATACGTCTCTCTGCGCACCCCCACCCCTCCTGAACTACGCCCTGCCTTGGAACACTCAGGGTTCTCCGTTCTGACTCCCCTGTCCCGCTCTCCAGGGACAGAGGGGAGTAGGCTGTCCTAAGCTCACAACCGGGACAACGCCTGCAGGGAGACAAGGCCCAGAGGCCTGTGGAAATCAAGGAATGTGGCTGGCAGGCCCTAGGGAGCTAGCTCTCTGGTTCTGATGAAGGGGCAGGTGTTGACGGAGAAGAGTTAGGAGCCTGGCCCTTTCCTCAGCGTGATAAACTCCAGCGTGAATCTGACCTGCTGGGCTCAGGGGGCCCGCACCCCCTCAAGTCCTGGCTACACTGTCTGTCTAATCCCACCTGACAAGTCTGAGGCTTCCAGGTCAGCCTGCATACATTTCCATACATTTCCAGGAGTGCTGTGACCCTGAGAGGGCCTGAGATTACAGGTAAGAGTGTCAATGTGATCACGATTGGAGTCAAGTTGATGATGGGGACAGTGAGGGGTGCACAAGGAGGTCTTTGATGCTCAGCCCAGCACTCAGGTGGGAAGCCCTTGCGTCCATGGCCCCCTTAAGTTTCCGTGAGTTGGATGAGAGAGGAGCAGACCCTCTGTTCTCTGAGGGTCAGGAATAAGCATTGCTTTGTTTCTCAGAAACATGACAATGCTTTCTTCTCACTTTTCTGCAGACGTGGGGCCTATGAACCAGAGACGACATCAAAGGAAGCCCAAGAACCTGGGGACTTCTGGCAAGGAGGCTGGAACTAAGTGTTCTGATGACATCACAGAGGAGGAGACAAGAAAGCAATGTCTCTTTCTTCCCACTCCTCCAACCCCCTCAGCACAGGGGCTCCTCAAACCCAGGGGACACTCCCTCCTTGGAGACTCGTCTTTATCCAGACACCTTTCCAGCCTCCTCTCACCTCTGGGCTGTCCTTGGTCTGAGGCAAGAAGAATCCGTGCCGCAGCCCTGCTGCCTTCCAGCTCCTGTCCTTCCCGGCGTCTGTCAGACAGCTGTGGCTGAGCCTGTCCCTCTGGGCCCTCTGCATTTTTACCAGAAGGATTAACCAGGCCAGGGATAACTGGGAAGAGTCTCAGCCAAGGACCAGTTGGATCTCTTGTTCTGTAAGTGTTACAGCTCACGGACTGGGTGAGGCTGAGGCCCTAAGGTAGACCAAGGGAGAGGAGGGGAATGGCTAAAGGTGGCTGACCAGTTGTGCCAGTGTCCCCCCTCTTTGAAGCATGAGGACTTGGGCCAGATGACCTCTGGGACAGTCCAGTTTCCTGGTAGAGGGGAAGGCACATGGGGAAGGCTGGGGGCACACTGTAGGCCCACCTCTGCCTCCAACCACCTTCATTCTACCAGCAGGAGGAATGGCGCTTCCTGTGACCCAACTCCTGTTCCTCCAGCTTGTTCTAGCGCCAACCTGGGTTGAAAACATCGAGCTCCAGGTGGCCACTGAGAACTTCCGCACCTTACACATCGACTATCCCAGGGCTAACTACGCAAAAGGCTTCCACGGCTACTGTAACGGTCTGATGGCCTACGTGCGGGGCAGGCAACAGACCTGGCACTGCCCAAAGGTCCACTATGTGTTACATGCCCCTTGGAAAGCCATCGGGAAGCTCTGCAAGTACAGCGAGAGCTTCTGTGAGAATTACAATGAATACTGCACTCTCACCCAGGACTCCTTCCCCCTCACCATCTGCAAACTACACAAGGGAGACACGCCCACCAGCTGCCACTACAACGGCACTCTGACCAACCAGAGGCTCTATCTGCTCTGCTCCCAGCAGTACGATGCTGAGCCGATGGATATCATTGGCCTCTACTAGGCAAGGGAGGCTTTCAGTCTGAACCACCCGCTACCACCACTGCAGACCAGCCTGTCTCCACTCCCAAAGCTCCGATCCCTGGTACCAGGCTTCCTCTCTGGCTTCCAAGGTAGGCAGGGCCCCTCCCAAGAGACTAAGGGACGTAGGAAAAATGTCCAGAGCTTTGGTCACTGTGCAAAGTTGTATTGTCCTCTAGGCTCTTTCTAACTTGTTTACCTCCCCACCCCCACCCATCCCTACCCCCATCCTCCCTCTCCCACAGACAGTTTTACCCACCCAAGAAGCTGACTGTGTCCAGTTGGCAGTGACTGTCCATCTACTGGGCCAGATCCTGAATCCTGGATGGAGGCCCAGAGCCTCGGCTCACACCATGGCAACAGGCACCAGTTCTGTCTCAAATCCCCATCCCTACCAGCCTTCCCTTCTCAATCCTCCCCATTTCCCTAATGAGTCCCTCCACCCACTCACGCACATGGTGGGTACCTCTAGCTATAGGAGCCTCCCTGAGCGTATTATACTCATATTAGCTTCATTTCTCCAGGGGCCCCCTCTGTTCTCATTCTGCTCCTCTCGATGGAATCATTGATTTCCTCTTCGCGGAATACATCTTTTCTGCTCTGGAGAGTGCAGTCTCTCCCCCACACTCCCAACCTCTTTCATCGCCTTGTATTCTTTTCCTTCCATCCTTCTCACCTTGGCTTACTGGAGCTTCACGTTATCTTCCTGCATCCCTTTCCTTCCCAAAGCTCCTCCTCACATTCCCCCAGACTCCAGGATCTGCCTCTGACAAGGCGTGGGTGAAGTGGGTCTAGCTGTAGTCACAGAAGGTTTTAAAACCATATCTGAATTATGTAAAATATAACCATGGGATGACATGGGGTGAAGGGTACATGGGGCCTCTCTGTACTTTTAGCATCTTCCTGGGAATCTATAGTCATTTCAAAATAAAAAGATAAAAAAAAACACATCTGAATCAGTTCTGATGTCATTCCTTGTTCCTCAATGCGCCAGAACTCCTATTCTCAGAGTCCTGGAGGTGACCCACCTCTGGCCATTTCCTGGGCCACCCTTCACAGGCAGTAGGATCTTCTGTTCCATGTCTACCACGATGGGGGTGGGGTGGGTAAAACTCAGTTCCAGGTGGGTGTTGAAAATGGGTTATCTCTCTCCGTCAGCTGTAGAACAATCTCCTAATAGATCCTTGGTCCACCATCTCTGGCTTCTATTTCTTCCCCAACAAAACATGGATTGCAACAGATGAGGAAGGTGGAGGGACAAGGGAGGGTCGAGTTGCTAGTATCTGGGTCCTGCTATGTCAAATCAGCAATTGCTCCTCCCCTTGGGGAGGTAGGGGGAGATGGATACTGGTAACGTGTGAATGTAAGTAGCAAATACTTTTGCCTCCATATAGGGTTGATCTCTTATCTCTGAATATACTCCTTGGCCATGTTCTTAGAAGCAGTTGTTGAGGGCGATGCTCCCTAATGATGGGAAGGCACGGGGCCAGGTAGAGTAAAGCGTAGTGCTGGGAACCCCTACCCTCGGGTTTCTCGGCTCCTCTCTCTGTCTCTACCGCAAGGGCCCCACCGTCCCTCCCCCTGTTGGAAGACAGAACTCATGGGCTGCTGCACACACAGATGTTTATTGCTCCCCAAGCTCCCTGGTGTTAAAGATGCAGGGTCAAGGCTGCCAGGCCCACACGAGGCTACTCCCTAGCGGCTGCCCTTCTTATCATAGGTGCCAGCACCCTTGTAGCCACTCACATAGCCTGAGCTGTCAGTCACGTCTTCCCGGCCCGCGATGCCCTTGCCCTTGCCGCTCTCGTCAAAGCGCTCCTTGTGGGTGCCTGTGTACTTGCTGGTGTCCGTCAGCCGGCTCACCCCTCCCACTGTCGTTGCTTTCTGCAAGCCGGAAGGTAAGTCTGATCCTTCTCCCTTTCCCCCCATGACCACGCCCCTTCTCTAAGGAGGGCCTTTGATTCCACTAGTTCTCCCAGCCCTTGTACAGCCCTTGGCATCGTGCCGCTTGCTTAGGGCCCAGATGTAGCTGTGGCAGCAGCTACGATGAGAACCATCCCCTTTAGGAGGAGGAGTCTGGTGTATGGGAACGAGTAGGGTGTGTGTGTGTGTGTATCTTTCTGCTTCCAGAGGGGCTGTTTTGACTAGGCTGTAGCTGGAGGACTTCAACGGCCGACCTAAAATGCGAAGTCTGTCCTACTGGGAAGGCCCTATTGAAAACCTGGAGTAGAAAGAGCTTTTAGTAGAGAGGGGACAAATAAAGAACAGAGGGTGGATGAGAGGCAGGAAGTCAGATATTAGACCTCATATAAGAGCAGGAAGAGGAGAGGGGATCAGGTGCCAAGTCCTCTGCACTCAGTGTCCCCCCAAAACCACCAGGCTCCAGTTGCCTGACTCAGATACTGGACACTTCAAAATGAGTCTAAGTTTTACTATGAAAAGAGCTGTGGACCTTGGGTTAGTCACTTCCTCTCATGATTTCCTCACCTCTGAAATGACTAGATGATCTCTAAAGTCTGTTTCAATACCAACAGTGCCCAGAAGCTCTCTGCCCTGTCTTCCTACAGTGGCACTGTTGGCAAGGGTGAGGGACATCGGCAAGAGAGAAGCAGCAGGGACTCAGGGAACTAGGGTCCCGGGTGAGGAATGAAGAATGTTACTCACAGTAACACCGGTGGTAGCTGGGTCCTTGCCCTCCATGAGTCTATAAATGTTCTCCAGGGCTTCATCCGGGCTCTTTCCCTTGAACCGCTTCTGGCCCAATTCCTTCATTGCCTCCTGGAACTGCTGGAATGTGATGGTTCGGGCATTCTTGGCCCTGGTCAGTCAGACAGAAATCCAGGAATTCTGGAACATGAACTCATCACCTTCTAAGGTCTAACCCTCCCCTTACTCAGACAGGGCTTCTTGACTCTGAGTGTCTTAAGAACAGGGAATCGCACAGTGCTGGGCACCCAGCAGGTGCTCAGGAGACCTGTCACCAATGCTCTCCCACATAAACCCTTCCAAGTCCCACTACCTTGTTTGTTCTACTCCACACTCCTACTCCCGTCTTTGGTCCCTTACTTGACTTTGCTGAACACGATGTCCACATCAGTGGAGGTGACTGTCTTGCCGTCCATGATGCCACAGTCTTTGCACAGCTTGGAGAAGTTCTTGTTGTTCATTTCAGTGCCACTGCTTGACGATTCTCCAAAGATGGCAAACCGCTGGAAGGTTCCTTCTGCTTCTGATGCCATGGTCAGCCGGGGTTGGGGAGGACAGTAGGGGGGGAGACTTGGGGGTGAGGGAGGAGGGGAAGGGAGGACTGAAGAGTAAAAAGAATGGGGGTTAAAATAAAATCAGAATCAGCAACAGGAACAACCCCCCTTCTCCCTGTCCCTCTCTGACTTCCCTCTGACTCCCATCCTACTTACTGTTTCCAGTACAAAGGATACTAGTGTGGATCCTACATACTGAATAATCACCACCACCAACCACTTCCCTACCTCTTTTGTGTACCTGAGAGTGCCTGGATGGTGTCTGACCCTTCCCAGCCTTTGTTTGTAAGTGTGTGCAGAAATGTGGGAGCCAGCTGGCTTGGGAGACTGGGTGGCAGTGGGGAGACAGGGGAGGAGAGTAAGATTCTATGACCTCAGCAGTGTTTATGTGACATCACCGTCAGCCCCTCATCTTTGGGGGGAGGGGTTCTTTGGTCCCTACCTCGCATGCTGCATTGAGTGTGCTGCCAGCCTCCTGATCGCTCCAGCTGCTCAAGCTGCCCTTGTGGAGGCTGCCCTACTTGACCCAGTCCTCGGGGTCATAAAATTGCCTTATGCTCAGTCCCTCAACAAAAGCTGCAAAGAGCTCAGGGAAGGAGTTAATGAAAACAGGTTGACATCAGTCCAACATCGCCCTTTTTTCTAGTCTCCAGGCCTGGGTTAATGACCAACATGGAGGATCTCACTGGCCTTGGCAGACCAAGCTCAGTAGGAACTCTAAATGGCTTCCACTGTTGGGTCCAACATGGAAAGAGCACAGGCCTTGGAGGGTCATAGATCTGGGCTGGTCAGGGGGAGGGTGAGCCTCAGACTCTGAAAATCTTCTGGCGAAGTTTCTGTTCCGTCCAAGGATATTCCTCAAGGGTTCTCTTTGGCCTTTTCCCTGGTCAGAAAACATATGGATGGATGAACTTCAGGAGCCCTAAAACAGAGCAACTAGATCGGTGACTTCCCTCCTCTTCCCAGCTAAACGGTCACTAATTCCTATAAATGTTTTTCTCCTGTGTTATAAATCCATTCCTTTCTTTCCATTCCTGTTACTCCCTCACTTATTCAGGTCCCTGTCATCTCACACCTAGTTGATTACCCTGGCTTCTAAATGACCTGTTTCCTAAGTCAAATTCTTCACCCTCCCCTACCTGATAACCCGTATCTATTCACCCTCCCATCAGATTAATTCTCACGAAACGATTTTTTATTCAACGTTCCCGCTCAAAAACACTCATGGATCTTTAGTGCCAAAACTTTTTGCCTGTCATTCAAGGACCTTTACATTTGGCTCCAATCTACCTTACCAAACACCACCCATTTTGAATCAATATTACTTTTCATCTGGCCAAAATAGCCTAATCACTCTACGCTTCAGAGGCGAACTGGAGCCTAGCAGAACGAGAATAACCTTGGAGTGGAATAAATTTGGGTGGGGATTTAAGTCCTAAATAATGTCGTTTACTAGCTGTGTGGCCTTGGGCAAATCATTAAACATCTCTGAGCTTCAATTTCCTCATATGCACAGTGAGGACAATAAAACTTACTTTATAATACTAGAGGATAATATATGGGAATTACCTTGCACACAATAGCTGTAATTCAGTTCTTCAAAGTAACTTGTGTATTTCTTTCCCCAAACCTTCCCTCATGATCTCTCTCTGCCTGGATAGAATGCCCCTTCTTCCCACTCAAATACTCCATTGTTTTATTCCTCGTAGGGTGGTTTATCCTAGAAACAAAACCCATTTCCTTCTCTGAATTATACTAAGATAATGGTTCCTAGCCTATGGGCTGCAGCCTCCTGGGGCGAGGGTTTCTGAAAGATTGCAACAGCCTCTGGACAGCTGTATACACACAGACGATTGGCCATAGACTGAGTGAATAAGAAGCTTTGCACTTGTAGGCATTACTGTATACACAGATGTGATTATCAGAAAACTGTACACACTTATTTGAAAGTATGGCTGAACTCATGGTTTGTCCCCATCAGGAGATACTAAAACCATCATATGGAAATGGACGTCTGACCTCCCACTTGAGAAGAGTGGGAAACCATTGCTATAGGACTGTTGTCTAAACAATTAATCTTCTATACACATTATTCTTCTTCACTTTTTCTGTCTTTGCATCTTCTCTCAACTACTCCATCCTAAGCTTCTAGAGTAGGACTAGGTTTCACACTTCTTTGAACTCCGTCTATACAGAGGTTTGCACAGAGCAGGTACTTAAAGCCATTGCTTACTGGAAGGCATAGTTTGAAGCTGCTTCTGGCCCAGAGAAGGAAGTTAGAGAGTTAGATTCTTCTTGTTGGGGCACTGACACCTGGGCCCGACTGAGACCTGCCCTGACAGGGGAGGAGGAACCCCATCTTAGAGCAGAAGCAGCTGCATTACTGACTGTGGCAGGCTGAGACCCCTAGTCCTAGGAAGCAAACAGATCCCAGTGGAAATTTCCCACCTCCTGGCCGCCTCACACCCCTGAGTAGGCCCCTTATCAGGTTCCCCCTGAGTCATCCTGACCCAGAGACGAATTTAGATGCTGGAACCTCCAGGTCCTTCCCTCCCCCACTCCAAGTAAGACTACTTTAAACACATCAGAGGAGGCTGCAGGCAGACGTTCTCACACTAGGCTCTCTTTCTCCCCCAGTTCCAGTAAGGCTGGGGGAGATCTCTCTCCTGTCCTATGCATCTCTACCTAGGTTCCTAATTCCAGCAGGCTTTTCCTTGTCCTGGAGAGTGTTAAACTGGCATCCAGAGGGGAAAGAGGACTAGGCGAGGAGCCAGGGTGCCCAGCTTTGGGGTAAATAGTTATGAAGGGAGTGGGGGAAGGGAACAGAGGAAAACTTAGATGCTCCAAATTGGGGGATGTAGGGGAGTCCTTTAGATTTGGGGTTGTTGAAAGCTGGATTTGATCCTGACTAGCTCTACTCCCGGTCACCTCCTCCCTCTTGGCTCCTCCTTTCCAATAGACCCTGCCAAGTGGGGATGAAAGGGGCATTGATGTTCCTTGGATGAGAGGGGATGTGGGTGGTTAGGGGGGTGGTGGGTGGTGGTTCCCAGGCAGGAGGAGGAAGGCAATTTGGGGGTCTTGGGGGGGCAGTCTGAGCTGGTGTTGCAATTGGCAGCTCCAGTTCCATTGGCCATTGTTCCCAACTGGCCTGGCGCCCAGCCCCCAAATGGCAACTCAGGAACCAGGCCGAAGGAGGATGGATGGGGCGGGGACCCTGGGGGGAGGGGAGCTGGAAGGGTTGCAGGTGGAGAGGAATTCACTCTGGTTTCCTTTTGTCTAAGACAACTGCAAATCCCCGTAGCCACGTAACTATCCCATTCCAGGTGGCTTTCCTCTTAGGGGCACAGGGAGGGTGCAACTAGGTGGAGGGAGGACAGGATGAGTGAGGAGTCTAGGGCATCAAACCCGGGCCCTGAGGGAGAACCAGCAGTCCCTGAGAAACCATCGCCTGGGCAATGCGATTCAGCCCGGCCGAGCTGGTCTCACCCTCCTTCTCTGGGCCAGACTAGAAGGGGTTAGCACTGAAGCCACAGGGTCTCTTGGGTCCCAGCCCGGGACACTGCGTCCTCCCCAAGCCCCTACTCCACCTCCACAAAGTTAACTCCACCCCTGCGCCTGTTTACCCAAGAGTCAGAACTCCTGGGGGTCCCTGGCTCCTCCTCCGCCCTCCCCTTGGGGCCTTGACCCGGGAGTCCTCGTTGGCCATCCTCTCCCCCTCCCGCGATCTTCCTCTATTTATAGCGGCCCCCTGCATTCCCCACCCCCTCCCCGCCTTGTTTTCCAACTTCTCAGGGAGCAGCCGGAGCGCAGGCGTCGGGACACAGCAGAGAGAGGAGGTACCAGGACCCTGAGCGCCCCGGAGTTGGAACTTCCTGCGCCCTCGAGGTCCCCCCCACCAAGTTCGTGCAGGCACACCTTCCCCTCCCGGCGGGAGAGACCCCTGCCTCCTCAGCAGCGATCTTTCCTTAACCTAGTTCTCTGTTTCTGTCTGGGCGGAGTCGAATTCGTGGGGTGCCAGCACCCGGGATTCATCTCCCTTCTACCCGTTCCCACCACTGTGTCTGGAGGCGAAGGAAGGGGCCAAAGCGCGACAGGCAGAGCCAGGTCACGGGTGGGGGCGGGGTCGAGAGCGGGCGTGGGGATCCCCCGCAGGACTAAGGGATCCCCGCACGCCCCACAGCCGCCCCGTTGCGGGGGAGGGGGAATGTTGTGGGGAGCGTGGGCAGAACCTGGAAGCACCCAGCAGTTGGCTTTCTTCAGAGTGCCCCTCCGGCCCCCAGCACAGCCCCTCCCGGAGCCGCAGGCAGCCTGGGCGCGGTGAAG